CTGAGGCGATCGCAGAGACCGTTAAATGGGGCCAGGCGACGAATAAGTCGGCGGATGAGGCCTTAACTGCAAAGGGTGTGTGCGACACGAGTGCTAGCACTGTTAAGGCAATTGCACGTAAGGTGGATGTGTTTGCGATGGAGGTAAACAACTCCGAAACCAGTCTACAGAACGCCCAAGAGAATCACAATAAAACGCAAGAATTCCTCACAGGGGCCAGGGATGCTGCACAGAGTGCACGGGATGCATTTAACAAATGGAAGGAGGCAGTAAATGCCACTTCTGTGAATGCTCAGAAGGCGAGCGAGGCATTAAAAGTCTTTCATCATATAAGTGTACAGGTACTGAATGAGAACAGCTTCGGTGGGGTGTCTTCTGGAAGTGGGGACAGCAGAGAAGACGAGGTGATGGCCGCCTTTGAAAAGGCGAGTACGGTGGAAGATGCCTTAATACATGCACTCCTCGTGGAAAGGGACGCACAGGAGAATATTCCTGCAATTGAGAAGGAGGTTATTTCCGCGCAAGATGCATTGAAGCGTGTGGAGAAGACCATTGAAGAAGTCAAGAAGATACTTCCTCCTGCTCCTCTCTCTCCTATTAATGGTAAGGACGGCAGCAGCAGCCCTGCGTTACTGCGTGTTCCACTCCTGCTGCTGCTGCTCTCTGTGCTGGGCTGCATGACCGTGTGCTGAGCACTGTGGTGGGGTCCCTCCAAAGAGTGTTGGTAATCACTTGTTTATGGCTAATAATTATAATAATACAATTGCTATTGTATTCGGTATACTAAGCACCGAGGAATTGAATCCCGATGACACCCGCTGGGCTAGGGTGCATTGATTTGTGTGGAAATACCTAATCTCTTTTCTTTTTTGATACTTGCAAGCAGAGTATTGCTGTGCTCCTTGTGCTGTCTCTCACTCTGCAATTGTGTATTTCTGGTAAATGATATCTCTTTTCTTTTTTTATTTGCTTTTACATTATGTGTGAATGGGGTAACATGTAATTTGCTTGTTCTTTATGGGGACAATGTAAATTGTAATTGGGACAGGGAGAAACCAACAAAGATAGACTTCTTTTTCCTGATTCTTCTTTTTGTGTACATGCAGTGTTTTGAATTTTTTCTATATATCATCTTTTTTTTTTTTTATTTGTAGTTGTGTTTTTTTGTGCGTTGTGGGCTTTGGGCTTATTTTCTTTGAACTGTGGATATTTTTAGTTAAATACCTCTTTATTTCTGTTCTTGGTTGATTCCATTTCTGTGAATTGTGTGTATTGTAATAGCGGTGTACTGGCGCATCTGTTTCTTTCTGCTATCTTTCTCTCTCTCTCTCTCTNAGGGTGCATCAATTTGTGTGGAAAAACATAATCTCTTTTTCATTTTTATACTTGTAAGCAGAGTATTGCTGTGCACCTTGTGGTGTGTCTCACTCTGCAATTGTGTGGTTCTGGTAAATGATATCTCTTTTTTCTTTTTTATTTGCTTTCACATTATCTCTGAGCGGGGTAACATATAATTTGCTTGTTCCCTTGGGGACATTGAAAATTGTAATGGGGACAGGGAGAAACCAAAACAGAGAGATTTATCCATTATCCGTTATTATTATTGTGTGTATGGCTATCTCTGCAATGTTACCAAATGATATTGAATTTGTTTATAATCTTTTTTTTATTTGGGATTGGAATGGGACTTCATTTTCTTTGAATAATGGGTATTTTCCCTAATGTGTCTACTTCCTTTACATTATTGCTTGTCTCCTTACGTGTGTGTGTGGAGTAATAGTGGTGTACTGGTGCTTCTCTTTCTTTCTTTTCCTATACACACACAGACTCCAGTGATCCTCAGTGATATTAATGACAAGAATGTCCATGTTGTCGTGCCGTGTGTTCTGTCTGTTGGCCATTGTGCTCTGCTGTGTGGGTGTGAGTAGCTCAAGTGCCGCTGTGAATGGAGCCCCAGGTGCGGCTTCGGGTGGCGCTCGCAGTAATCAGAAGCGTCTTGAAGATTGGCGAGAGAGGTCAAGTCAGTCATATGCGCAGTGGGCAAATGGCACGCTTCATCAGGTTTTGGCGGCGGGAAAGATGGCGGAGCAGACTTTGAAAATGAAAACGGAGTGTGCGAAAGTTGGCGAAACTGCTGATGTGGCCGCCCGAGATGTTGATGTTTTTGCAATTACCTTAAAAAACTCAATTGAAACTGTCGCCGCTAAGACATCAGAAGTGGAGCAAAACAAGGAAAAGGGTCGTGAACTGATCAAGAAAGCAGAAGAGGCTGCAGAGAAAGCAAGAGAATTCGCTGACAAAACTGAAGCACACTCTGATCAGACTTTTGTCAAGGCCGCGTCTGCTCTTGAAGAAACAAATAAATTTAACGAAAGATATTCGAAAGAAATGGAACAGTATAACGCGCAAAACAGTCAGACGGCTGAAAAAGAATATGTAAAAATGCTAAAAACAAAAGTGGAAGCTGTATTCGACCGTATGACAGAAAAGAATATGACAAAGCTTGCGTTAAAAGCAGTCGACGCCTCAGAAGATTCACGCAAAGCGGCACTTGATGCTTACGCTGCTGTGCATTTTGTCGAAGGTGCTGTTAAACGTGCGGAAGAAGCCATGGATCAACTCGACGATGCAGCTATTGCTGCTGAGAAGGAAAAGAAAGGAAAAAAACGGGGCTCTGATGCTGCTGATATTCCTGTAATAAACACAAAGAAACTATTGCTGCTGCTCTCTGTGCTGGGCTGCATGACCGTGTGCTGAGCACCGTGGTGGGGTCCATCCAGAGAGTGTTGATAATCACTTGTTTACTGTTAATAATAATAATAATAATAATAATAATAATAATAATAATAATAATAATAATAATAATAATTCAATTGCTACTGTGTTCAGTACACTGAGCACCAAGAAAATAATCCCGATGACACCCACTGGGCTAGGGTACATCAATTTGTGTGGAAATACCTAATCTCTTTTCTTTTTTATACTTGTAAGCAGAGTATTGCTGTGCTCCTTGTGGTGTGTTTCACTCTGTAATTGTGTGGTTCTGGTAAATGATATCTCTTTTTTCTTTTTTATTTGCTTTCACATTATCTCTGAGCGGGGTAACATGTAATTTGCTGGTTCCTATGGGGACAATGCAAATTGTAATTGGGACAGGGAGACGCTAACACAGAGAGATTTATCCATTATCCGTTATTATTGTTTTTGTGTGTGTGGCTATCTCTGCAATGTTACCAAATGATATTCAATTCGTATATAATCTTTTTTTTTTTATTCGGGATGGGATGGAACTTCATTTTGTTTGAATAATGGGTATTTTCCCTAATGTGTCTACTTCATTTACATTTTGCTTGACTCCATATGTGTGTGTAGTAATAGTGGTGTACTGGTGTTTTTTTTTCTCTCTCTCTCTTTACATACACAGACTCCAGTGATCCTCAGTGATATTAATGACAAGAATGTCCATGTCGCCGTGCCGTGTGTTCTGTCTGTTGGCCATTGTGCTCTGCTGTGTGGGTGTGACTCATGCTGCTGATCCGCAAAGCACCTCAAGATTTGTTGTGATGGCAGAACAAAATTCGAAAATGAAAGAGGAATGCGAGAACGTCACCAAGGTTGCTGAAGAGGCCGCCCGGAATGCTTACTTCTTTGTTTATACCACTAAGAATACACTCGAACAAATTGTTGCAAACCCAGCGGAGGTGGAGACAACGAAGCAAAAAGGTATTGAACTCATCAAGACAGCAAATGAGGCCGCAGAGAGTGCAAGAAAAGTGGCCCAAAAAACCGATCAACAGTCAGAACGGGATTTTCTTGAAGCCGAGGGGGCACGTGAACGAGAAGAAATGTTAGGCAAGACAGTACCGAAAGAGATTGAGGCGGCAGTCGATGCGACACATGAAGCACAAAAAGCATTCGCTGCTGCTTACGCTGCTGCTACAGAGGCGGAAACTAATGCCAAACTTCTGGAGGAATTCATGAAGCAACTTGAGGACGCAGTTGCTGATGCTGAGGAGAAGAAGAAGGAAGAACAAATGAAACAGGAGAAGGAGAAACAGTTAAAGCTGGAGATGGAAGAACGGATAAAGCTGGAGAACGCAGAAAAGGAGAAACAGAAAAATAAGGAGAACCAGGTGGGGTCTCAGGCACAGCCACAATCTCAGAATACGACAGTTGAACAGACCACACAAACACAATCACAGAATACAGCAGGTGTACAGCAATCACCGCAACAACTGGAGTTGGGCAGAGTCCATACAGAAGAAACGAACACGTCTGAGCAACACCACGTACGGCAACTGTATACTGCAGATGTACAGAAGGAGATGGATAAACCAACACGAAGAAGAAGGGAGGCAGAACAGACGAGTGAAGATTTTTACACACCACAGACACCAACACAACAAGGAAAACCATCAGAGAACCAGACTCACAGTGGCAGTGTATTGCAAGAAACTCAGTCTCTTCCTTCCCCCGATTTTCGCTCTCCTCGTGGCTCTGACGTTGGTGAAATGAATGTCAATGATCTTCTTCGGAATGCTGCATTGACGAATGGTATGGCACTAAATGACAGCAGCAGCACCCCTGCGTTACTGCGTGTTCCACTCCTGCTGCTGCTGCTGCTGCTCTCTGTGCTGGGCTGCATGACCGTGTGCTGAGCACCGTGGTGGGGTCCATCCAGAGACTGTTGATAATCACTTATTTACTGTTGATAATAATAATAATAATAATAATAATAATAATTCAATTGCTACTGTGTTCAGTACACTGAGCACCGAGAAAATTAATCCCGATGACACCCACTGGGCCAGGGTGCATCAATTTGTGTGGAAATATATAATCTCTTTTCATTTTTATACTTGTAAGCAGAGTATTGCTGTGCACCTTGTGGTGTGTCTCACTCTGCAATTGTGTGGTTCTGGTAAATGATAT